TAAAAAATAAACCAATGAATAAAAAAAAAAGATAAAGCAAAACTCTAAAACAAAATCAGTTAAAATAAAAAAAATAATGAACTCGAACAAACCCTTTAAAAATAATATAATCTCTAAAACTTACAAGTTGTGAGATCCTTAATAGGAGTTCAATTAAGAAATTTAACTCTTAACAAATTTAATTTTAAAAAATAAAATTATGAAAAAAAACTATTAATTAAAAATCTTGCAGAAGAAAAAAATCAACAACAAAGATAAAATTTAATAGAAAAAGGCACAAGAAAGATGACATTTAAAAAAAAAAATGATTCAATACAAGATAAATAGTAATTAATAGAATAAAAACCAAATTTAAAAGATTAAAAAATCATTAGGCATAAAATAAAAAAACAAATGTAATTTGATAAATAATTTATAGATTAAAAAATAACAAAGATTAAAATTAAAAAAAAAATTGTAAGAAACCAGCTCAATAAAAGACAAACCATTAAAAAATAACAAAACTAAACTAAAAAAAACATTATAAAAAATTAAATAAATCTTGACAAACCTTCTAAATCTAGTCTAGTATTTAATAAATCTAGTCTAGTATTTAAAAGTTACCAACCATGAAATTTTAAACTTGAATTCAAATAAAAAACTTAATCATCAACTAATTTAATTTTAAAAACGATGAAGCTAATGAAAAAATATCAATAATAAAATCTAATAGAAAAAAACCCAATGATGAAATAAAAAAATAAAAATAATACCAAACAAAATAAATAGTAATAAAAAATATAACTAAATTTTAAAAGATTACAAAAATCATACAAAATAAAATTAAAAAATATTTATAATTTGATAAATTATTTATATATTTAAAAATGACAGGGATAAAATAAAAAAAAAATTTACAATTTCAAAAACTATTGATAAATTAAAATAGTAGCTGGACAACCCTATCTTAAGAGCTCTATTATCTTCCAAACACCGTCTCGTAAAACGGTGTTTGATGGCTGGACAACCCTATACCCACCAATTAAACATCATCGAAGCTGTACACACAGCCTCGTGCACACACCAGCATGATTTCTAAAATAATATTAAATATATAACCATTACAATAAAGCTGTACACACAGCCTCGTGCACACACCAGCATGATTTCTAAAATAATATTAAATATATAACCATTACAATAAAGCTGTACACACAGCCTCGTGCACACACCAGCATGATTTCTAAAATAATATTAAATATATAACCATTACAATATCACTCCTAACCAACCTCTACAATCAAATAATTAAAAAAACCCTCATAAAAGAGATGCATTGTTCTCAGTGTTTAATGATACCAAAGTATTTGCACTGTTCGAAAAAAATGATAAAAACACAATCTCAAATTATTTATTACAATGCTGAGGTTGTAATTTTACCATGCATGACAATGATAACCCCTCTGCAACATGTAATAAACAATTATGCCATAATAAAAAGACAATCTCAACTCAAAGCTTAATTCATTGATTCCTTTTCTTTTTCTCAACAGCAAATAATTAAGTAAATACACTATTACAATACAATGAATAGGGAAATTAGTCTTGGCTTGCAGTAACTTCTCCTTTAGGTTTTTTTTTTTTAATTTAATTTAATGCAGGTACTGTAACACTGCAGGACATGCACTTCACCATACTAGCATAAAAATATAACACTACACAAGTAGACCTCCAACGACGCCATGCAAAGCAAAAATATTAAGAGCCTGATTCTGAAGTTTTGTAGCAGTAACATGGCAGTACGCCAATGGCAGATCACAGACATGGTGAATTGTGCTGCGGTATAACAGACCTTAAATTTCTTCCCCAAAGAAACTCATTGTTCGTCTATAGGTAATACATAAAGGAATCTACATGCCCTCAATCTGCAAAATTGAGAGGCTTGGAAAGCAACCGAGAGAGATCAGCTAGAACTAGGCAAGTAAAACAAGATATGGATTTTAAGAACAAAACTATGACTTGTCCATTTAGTGAATCAATTATGAGCATCAGTGAAAGCGAGGAGCACAAAATTACATGTATAGATAGGAAGACAATTAGATTATTGGCCAAGGAGCACAAAATTACATGTATAGATAGGACCCCGTGTGTGATGAAGACAATTAGATTATTGGCCGTGCCGCTTTAGTTTTCTGCGTTTTCTGTTCCTTAGAAATGGGTCGACCCAATTTTTGTCCTCCTTCACCGCTTGCTTCCAGCGATCCTTAAATATTTGAAGCTCCCATGTTGATTGCCTTCTAATCTGATCAGTCAATTGAAAGAAAACAACAAAGTTCATCAAATTACAGACATGATAACATGGTTGGAATTTAGCATCTCAAATGTAGAGTTAACGATCTCATGATATACGTGCATTAACTCCAAAATATAAGTGTTATCAAAGCCAAGATCACCAATCTCAAGGCCAGGAGGTGCCAATCCATGATATTGGAACCTGCTACGCAATAGTCCTTTCTGATCAAATATAAGTTGTAAATCTCAACAGAATTCAAATCAGCCAAATTGCATGATTTAGAGAAAACATGTAAACAATCAATGAAGCAATCATCCTCGACTACTTGGCAGCTTTTATGCCTATTGCAGGTATTTCATGTCCAGAGGAATAGAAGTATATAAAATTCTCAAAGCAGGATTGATGGTAGACTAGAGGATCAGTAGCCTCACCTCCATCCTAGGATCCACGGATGCAGCACTATATCTCTGAATGCCAGAAGGAGAAAGTAAACCAAAAAAGAGAAGGCGAAACCTTTAAGAACAAATAACAGTGGCTACAAAATAGTATCAATGAAAATTCATCTACCAGACAAGGGAAAGTTTACCTTAGTCAACTCTTCTGTATTTGATGCCTGAAGAAATTAGAAAGATATTAATAATAGATAATAAAATGCAGATAGACAAAAATCATAAACTGTGCCCCCCCTGAGAAAACAAGGAGAAAAGGATGACCTTTCTTCGAGCAGTTTTACGCCCACCCAAAGTTTGTATGCCCTTATGAACAATATATTCGCTATCAATGACCCCCACCTTCTTTGTGCGATCTCCCTGCACAAGTTCACATTAACTGAGCCTATCATAATATTCTTTCCTGTGATGACTAGCATCTATGGAGAAGAAAATAAAGTAAAAGATAAAAGAAAAGGGTCATCAAGCATTAAAGACATGAAAATAGGGGTTAAGTTCTATACTTGTAATGAGATAAAATTGGTCAAAAGATATTCTAGAAAAAACTCCAAGGGATTGATGTGGTGCTCAAAGAGGTCCGCTCTCTTCTTTGAATTCTTGAGATTGAACCTCAGGGCTCGCATCCAAGAAAATTTGTTCTCTTAAGTCCACCATGATAATGGGAAGGTATATCCTTAAAATCATTTCAGAAAGGAACCCAGTCTCAGATAGTCAAGCTGGCGCTGGCCCCAGGTTATTTCTTACCGTCAAACACACAAAAAAAAGAAGCTATTCTAAGAATAGACTAGTAAACTATCTTTGATGGGACAATGATTTAAATGCCCTTTCTTACAAATATTGATCAAACAGTTTAAATGTCCAAATTTGTGGATTACCACAATATTTATTATCTGCCTCCCCTCTCAATTCCTAGTTAAAATAAAATGATTTTTGTGGAGGCGAAAAGGTACCAAGTCCCTAGGAAGCAAAAAAGGAAAATGATCAACTTTTCAATCCTAGCATCTTTACAAGTGGGTTTACAATGAGGACATCGCAAGAGGATTGTCTGGAGCACTAATAACTGTCAATAAACATGAAACTCTTCCTCCAAGACCACCACCTTAACTGATCACTCTTTGTGAAACTCTTACATCTTTCGTATATACTAAGCAATTTTTATGCTACTTCCTACAACCAGCATTATTTGCCAAGACCAATACCTATTGAACCTCTCCTATTCTTAACTTAGTTGTAAAAATAGGCTCTAGCAGCAGAGCATTGAGCCTAAAATAATCTATACCAAGCAAGCTAGTAATATAGCAAAAAAAGTTACAGAGCAATGAGTAAATTAACAATGCAGACGAAAACCATCACTCAAAAAATTGAGGTGGAGGAAATTAAACAGTAAGAGAAACTAAAACTAGCCTTGGAAAATCAAGTTCAACTTACCTGCGCACAGTATCCTAGTTTCATGTCCATTCCCCATCCATGGACTAGATCATTCTGAGTAAAAAGAAAAGGAATTCCATGATGAGTTAATCAACCCTAGGCCAAAAGTGCACTTGATTTGCAATCATGCTATAGTGGGTGGAGTAGAATTTAACCATATGGCCATATCTTCTACCTTCCAAAATCAAGTTAAGTCTAATGCACCAATTGTTTGCATACAAGTGTTTGTTATGTTGGAAAATATCTTACAGAGTTTGCTATGTTTGGTGCAGCTTGAAAAAACCAGTCAAAGGAATTCAATTTGTAGTCAACCTAAATAGCATGTTTTAAATGGAGAGATATGTTTTCCCCTTCTCAAAAAGAGAACATTTTCCTAAAAGGATTCAATAGTATGTGTTAAATTTCTTTCATCCTATGGGCAACCGTATATTAGTCATATTTATCAACAATTCATACATGTTAGGTCACATTACTTCAGCTAAAACAAATAATATAAAGATAGTTGTTTTTCAGTGTTTATAAGGGACATGTTTCAACAAATTTTCCAGTCCCACTAATCATCTTTTTAGAAAGGATCCCCGCAGAATTTTGTTTTTCAAAGTCAACTTATTTTGCAGCAAATAAACAAAGCTAGTCCTAAAAGTTTCTCAACTAAAATTTTAAGCAAAAAACAAAACATGCTTACACTAGGATCATCAAATAGCAATTACACTGGGCATCACAAGCTTACGATAATGTTAACAAAAGGGCTTCTTTATACTAATCAAAGTTTAGTTACCTGTATAAGATGCCAAGCACAGTACCAAGCAGATCTTGAAAAGACTGGAGCCATACCTTCTACAAATCTACAGATATAACGTAAATTAAATTAGTATTGCTAGAATCCTTACGAGAACAATACAGTATATCCTTCAATGGGTATTGTCACAAGCATTGAAGTTCCACGGAAAGGATGAGCTCAAGCTGAAAATGTCACTAAACAAGACTTCTACAATTTGACATAGAATATTAGATTGGTCATTTTCAAAAAGAACAAAAAAAAAAGTTTAGGGACAAAATTGTTCATTGTTTTCAACATTGGTCAATTCCTCATCAGCCTCATTGCAAATGGATGGGAAAATAAACACTACATGAGGGCCACCAATAAGGTAATATATGAACTTTTTACGTTAAAAAATAGCATTGAACCAAATTAATATATATATATATATATATATATATATATATCGGAAGACAAGATATGTCACGAGTATAGCGGTCTATTTACCCAGTGCATGGAGGCCCCTCACTGATGTCAGAACATTTGGTACTGCCTCTGCTGTCATAAACTCTTCTGTTCACCGTAAATTATGTTAGATAAGTGCTGGTCATTAACAGAAAGATTTTAAACAAGATAGTAAAAGCCATGCCATTCACCTATGAAACTTCTTCATTCTGGCACGAATAGTAATTCTGTGATGTATGTCAGTTGAATTTGGGTCCAAAGCTGGCTGAGATATCTCCAGTCCTTCAAATCTCACAATTTTCAAGTATCTAGAAAGAAAACAAAGGAAATGAAATTATAAACCGATAAGGTTTGTTTAGACAGGATATAAGCCTAACAGCAAGTCACACTTTGTTTTTATAAAAGTTCTTCAAGTAAACTAACGCCCAGATAACTCATCACACCCAGAACGCCATCGCCGTTAACTCATCACACCCATAATTTAAGCCCAGATCGATAAATAGAGCCCCTCTCCCTTTCCCAGTTCATTCATTTCTCTATCTGGGGAGCTTCTCTGAAGACCCTGCCCTCTCTCCCCCTCTTGTTCTCTGTAAGAGCATGGGGTCCATAAACTCTCTCTCTCTCTCTCTCTCTCTCTCACATACCTTCTGTAATTTCCAATTGTCCTAGAAATGATAATCTCAGATGAAAAACAAGCCTTACTAATCCAAACAGCCTTAGCAAAAGAGAATCATGTTCTGGCAAGGGTTTGAGAGCAGGAGAAATTGCGGATGTTAGAACTACCTATGACATGACTAAATGAAAGACACCATGATTGATGGATGTCTATAAATGACTGGTAAATAATTAAAATGGACATGAAGATGAGAACAGGCCAAACAAGTTTTTTGGAAATTCGATTAGATGATCACTTATCTACTCACCTAAAAAAAAATAAACATTATGGATAAAGTCAAGGAAAATATATTATTACCAAAGGCAGGCAACCCTAACATGCTAAAGAAAAAAATGTCCAACAAACTCACTTTCCTGGATTGAAATGCTCAATCCCCAAATCTTCATCCCACAGAAATATATAATCATAAGCAGACACAACAGCAGGATGCAGGAAGCGTTTTGCAAACCACCTGAAAAGCAAGCGATGAGAGTTTTTCTTCTTAAGAAAAAGAACAATCCAGAAAAGATCAGAAAGGTGTTAATACTGTTGTCAGCATGACAAGTTAAATAAACTTGTACAGAAAAAACCAAGGATAAATGGTAAGTTTGAAGAATGGCAGCAGTTGGACAATCATTTGACAAGTCACCTTGAAGATCTCAGACGCAGATTACAGATCCAGTAAGATTATCAGAGCCATTCATGTAAAGACATAACTTTCCAGCCACCTTTTAGGCAGTCAAATTTCCATGACTCTGTTTTATTTTTCTAGCAGCAGTAAGCTAGTTCGAAGCATGAGGAAAAACAAATCAGCTGCTCAGACCCTCAGACAAATCCTTTTAAGGAAAATATTCCATGCTCACATAACCTATCAAACTCCTCTCATAGATGAAAAGATGTTATGATTTTAACCCATGAAATCCTGTGTTCCTCTGACCTTTGAAGCTAAATGATTTTGTACAATTTGCAATAAATTAACACTGAAACAGCAATATCAATCATCCATTTTTACCATACATACAAAATATGCAGTAAAAAATAGACAAAAAAAGAAGTTATCAAGGTTGATCTTACCACTTCGTTTGGTTCTTGGCAACTATGTGTATGGCTTCATTGCTCCAATCAAGATCCCACCACCCATCCACGTTGCCATCATAATGAAATAGAATAACTGTAAAATTCTCTGGAAGAAACTGAATTCAATGATATTAGGCAAGAAATGTTCAGTTGATGAAACAAAAACATTAGAAAAGATATCTGCAATACTTTTTGGACAATATGATCAACATTATCCTTTTGCTTGATGCCAGCTGGAATTGCCAACAAGTAATGACGGGTAGAAGGATCAACCTGCATTTGATTTCCATTATAAGTCAAGACATGCCCTTATATTGATGGTACAATACCAGAGGATAAAAAAACCAACCTTTGACCTCGAACTACTTGTTGACCATAGAGGCTTCAGCTCTAAATCTGAGCTAGCTCGTATAATACCATGAGGCAAACCACCCAACAGTCCAGAAGCCAAAGCCGATTCCTAGATCAAAGCGCCAAATGCATCTTTGTATAATGATGAACACTAGAACAGTCATCCAATGTTTAAAACATTACTTTGGAATTTTACTTGGTAGTTCTAAAATTACCTTCAATATTTCAAAGGGGTACAATTTTTCATCCATCTGACAATGGTAGAGAAAAACTAGTCAGCAAACTTTTCACCAGGATGCAGAGCAGCAAACTAGAGAAAAACTAATCTAAAGGGAGTAAAATAGTTCAGCAGATGCAGCACCATAAAAAACAGAGAGCTAGAGCCGGACCTATTTTCAATGTGAAAATGCAGCTTAATTTGTGCCAGGGGTAAATTCAACAACAGAAAAGATGTAGATGGACCAGCAAGTGACACTAGAAGTAAAGTTATTAAGATTTTGGGCTATGCTAAGTTACATTTCTTTCAGAAGTTTGAAAACAATGTAACCAAGTACTCAAGTATGTCTATAACATAAATATTGGAATTAATGCCTCTATGAACAAAAAGAAAAATCCACAAATCATTCACCAGAAGAGAATTAACTAGACAATTTGGCTCCCTGATTGATGCTTTTAAGTTAAAATATGAAGAGAGTCGATGGGGTTTCCATACCTCTGTATGGTGATACTGGTATATTGTAGTTCTATACACAACGAACAACATTGCTGTACACAAAACTCCCATAAACGGCAGCAGCTTCATCTTCAAACCGGATTTCACCTGCACCAAGGCAACACAATTACATCTTTGATGACTGCCAAAACTAAGGCAGATTTTGTAAACACTCCATCTTCTTAGCTGCCCCCAGGACTGAAGCTAATTAAATGTAATATGTCATACCCCATCACAGAAGGTGTTCCTTTTTAGCAATTTCCATGATCTGAATGACGTCATAGACAGCTAAAACTTTTACGAGGTCCTCATAACCAACTGCAGCTGGTGCACAAAAAAGCCGAGAGACCAATATCAGAAACAAACCTGATCAAATGTTACAACAATTGTTTGCAGTTTAAAAAAATATTTACTGAGAAAAAGTTGCCATTTCACACTGTCATAAGATAAATTTGTAAGCTTGAACACAAATTCGAGAACCAAATTTGCAACTTGTCTTAGCTCAATTTCTTGATTAAGAAAAATTCCCAGAATCCCTCTATCGAGACTAAAGCTCAATTTTGAAAAACCAGTTTAATCTTCACTCTCTTTCATAATATTCGACAGTCTAAATCCTCATTTTTCATGCATATCAGCCTCAGTTTTCACAGTAACCTCAATAAAGGGTCAAAAATTGAGAAGAACATATTTGAATTGACATCTCAAAAAACCCAGAAAAAGGAAATTAATGTTGGCTTCTTGATTTAGCTTATTTAGGTGAGTGCATGTGTTGATAGTTCAAGGCAAAGAAAGAAAGCTTAATTTGTTACTAATCAACTTATTATTGATGCTAATATAGATTAAACTAACTGCAGATTCTTAAAATCTCTAATGAATCCAACCAAAAAAAAATTGATTAAATAAATTTTCCCATTAAAAAACATAAACCAAATAAACTTCAGTTAAATGACTTTTTTCATTTTTTAGAAAGGAAAGCAATCTACTTTCTGCGCAAAAGCAGAGTCTTTTGATATTCATGCCTGAAAAATCTATCAATACAGATAACCAAACAAACAGAAAACTAAATTTTCAGATCTCATAAGCACTCAAAGATTTCAAGAATCGAAAAACAAAAATTGCCGCTTGAAATGTTATATATAGTAAGCAAACACGAATTTCCAGTTTTATCAATCAACTTTTTTTAAAAAAAAAGGACTTGAGAGTCACAAACTTTCAAGAAATGAAAGGAAAAACTGGATTTAGCAGCATTACAGCTAAACTTGAGATGGTTTAAACGGAGAAAAAAGGATAGATGACAAAACTTGAGATAAAAGAGAGGCAAAATCGGTGAGAGGAAGCTGGAAATATTAATAAATAAGGATTAAGAAGTAACAACAATCTTGCAGAAATCAGTCAGATTATAGGTGTATGATTCTGAACACCAAGAAATATATCAGAAAGGGCAAAGCAATAGAGAGGATAAATGGGAGGTTTTGAGAGAGAATCGAAAAGACTTACGTGTAAGAATGGCCACGTTTAAAGACACTATCTTTCTCGAAAAATATCAGGCAGCAGCACACCACTTTGTTGTTTCTTTATTTTAATTTCTTAGAACTACTTTTGCATGTTGTGTTTGGGGTTTGAGGTCATATTTTGGAAAATGGATCGCCGAGAGAGTAGAGACAGAGACAGAGACAGGGAGAGAGGTAGAGGTCACCACCAGTTGTTGTCCATTTAAGAAAAAACACAGCACACAACAGTACTCCTCTTGTTCTCCATTTCTACTGTTTTGTCTCCTTTTCTTTTAAATTATGTAGGGGAGAGGTGTGTGGTTTGGTCTATCATCTTCTTTTTCCTTCGGCTGCTCACTTCTTTACTACAAGGTAAATACTAAATAGAATGGCGTCTGCGTGCGCGTGTAAAAGTTGGAGAGTAAAAACTGTTACAGAGTTTTGTCTTGATTAATCACTGCTTGTTATTAATATTGGTCGCGTCTTTTGGTGAGTCCCAAAGAATAAAACATGATTAAAAATAAGCTTAATTTATTAGATAATTAGTTTTTTTTAATTTAAATAGTTTGATTTATTTTTTATAGATAAGGTATCTAGTAATTTGGTTAATCACTGCTTGTTATTAATATTGGTCGCGTCTTTTGGTGAGTCCCAAAGAATAAAACATGATTAAAAATAAGCTTAAT